TATATATATATATATATATATATATATACACACATATGTGTGTGTGTGTGTGTATTGCTGTTGTTAGAACAAAACCTTGTGTCTCCATTTGTGTCGTTTTTCAGATTTTGACATAATCTGAAAATGCCTGCTCGTCTTTACATTGTGTGTAAATTTCATGATGAATGGACAGTCTGGCTCCATTGACTTACATTAAAAGTAAAGTATATTTTCTCTTCTCTTATAAAGTTACCATTTTGGAGATACGAGATTTGATCCGACAGAAGGATTCTGTCGTAGGAACCGCACACGTCTGGGATATATTATACAGTCAGAGCACAGTCAGTTCTCATAGTCGACGTGTTGGATGTGGCAGAGCTTTAACTCAGTATTGAAGGTCACTGTGGTATTTCTGAACCCCGAAACAAACACTCCGCCCGTGATTCTGCACACGAGCTACCGCACTATTCGTGTTGGATGTGCAGGCATGAAGATCTGAGAGACATTCACCGATTAATTTAGATTGAATAAAACCAGCTAATTTACTGGTTACCACATGAAGTACATTTATTAGGTTGATCTGACGAGACACTTTTAGACGAAATTAATTAAAATAAGTATAAATGTATTTAAATAGGTTTTAAAAGCTCATAGTATTCTTACAAAAATCTCGGTGTGAAATATTAGAGGTACTGACTACATCTAAGATGTGTTCACTTGCTAAGATGACATTTTCTGCAGTGAAGTGCTGAATGAAACATCTAAAAATCATTTTTGTGTAGTTTTTTTAACACGCACACACTTGCTGTAAAAATGGCCCATCAGTTTATCCTATAAACATCTTCATGCGGTAACAAGTAACTAGTTTTATTCATCCTAAATAAACACTTCAAATGAATGATTCTTTCAACCAAAGCAGTTTTTTGAGTTGAAAAAAACTTTTTTAGGTTGAACTGATGAGCAATTTTCACAAAGTACATAACATCTACACTGTGTAAGTTGTTATTGGCTTTAAAATGGCAAAACTTATTAATGTAAAAAGTGACTGTGATTTTTTAATCTCTGAGCAGAAGCCCCTGGTATAGAAAACAGCACTAATATACATACATAATCTAATATTAACAGAAATGGCTGTGATTGTGAATAGTTTAATGTTAGCCGGCGGTTCTGAGGTCGGCCTGCGGAAATGCAGATGAGGAGAAGCACATGCATGCGCGACTGTGACAGGGCCGGGGGCGCCAGTTCCTCCTGAATAATCCCTCGTTTCTCTGCTGCAGCACTGTTCAACAGGGCAGTCTCGAGGAGGGGTCTGGGACTCGGCCTGTGTTTAGTGGGGTCGGCGCTGATAACGAACGCAGTGGAAATAAAGCTTTAACTCAGTATTAAAGGTTACTGTGGTATTTCTGCTCCAAAACAAACACGCCGCCCGTGACTCCGCACACGAGTGGTGCAGCATACATTTCAGCGGTTCCCTCTGAAAGGAGGGCTTTTCATGGGAGGTCTGAAAAGCCACCCTCTTTTTTTTCTTCTTCTTTTTTTTTTTTGCTGGTAAAACATGTCACATTTTTCTGAATCACACTGCATAGAATTACCCACATGTCTGAGTGAATTACATTACCGGCGGGACCGAGCGCATTCAAACAGAAATATTCTCGCCGTGGGGCTCGGAGAGGAGTCTCTTTTCATTACAGCGCCGCTGAGTCGAGCCACATTTCAGCATTATAAATGTGCAGCGCTTGAGAACAGGTCAGAAAAGCTTAGACTGCATCAGTACACACTCACTCACGTACCAGTCGGGGCAGAACAACAACAACAACAACAACAATGAAAAACAACAGCGAGACGCAGCGGCTTCCAATTGTCCTGTCTGGTCCTGATCTATAACACCTGAAATGAAAACTCCACCCCGAGAGCTTCCGCTTCTGGGACATTCATCTTCTGCCTGAAAGGTTTGGAGCCACCTGACTGGATGTGTGTTTTTCACAATGCATTCTGACCCAAAGAGCCACAACTTACTTTTCAACATTCTCAACATTTTCCCTATAATTCAGTGTGTGAGATGTAAACAGAGTGATTCAGAGTGGTTTGGTATGAAATGGTTCAGATGTCTTTACAGTGGTGGTGATAGGAACCAGGGGTCGCCATGACTACAACACAAATATAGACATTTTATTTACTATCCAGAACCACCAGTGAACCTACACGAGTCTTCTGAGTCTATATGGAATGATGATGATGGAAAATAGTGGAAAATCTGGAATAATAAGTTTTCCCTCTGCATGTCCCTCTTTGCCATAAAACATTAAACATAATAATAAGTTTGAGGCCAAAATCTTCTGAAAACTATCATAAAACAGCATCTCAGACATCAGGCAGTGAGTTCATAACCATTTCATACAGTAACTTCCTGCACTGTAGAAAATGGCTCGTCAGATCAACCTAAAAATGATTTAATGTAATAACAAGCAAGTGAATCAGTTTTATTCAACTCAAAAATTACTTTGAAAGAATTAGTTAATTTACTTGTTACCACATGAAGTCATTTTTCAGGTTGAACTGATGAGCCATTATTTACAGCAGCATCCTAACTACACTGTAAAAAAAAAACAAAAAAACAAAACAATACTTTATCACAAGAGAACATCTTGAATGTAGTCAATAAATCTAATATTTCTCATTAAGAGACTGTTGTAAGAATATTATAAGATTATTCCACCTGTTTCTGTGCACTTTTCCTTGTTTTAAGTGATGTTATGTGGTGAAAGTGTCTTATTCCTTTGGCAGATTAGTTTACTTGTTTCGAAAAAATAGTGAAGATAATTTTGCTCATTTCAAGGATAAAGCTTAAAACAAGTAAAATGATCTGCTAATGAAAATAGACACTTTCATCAGATGAAAATACTTAAAAAAATGTCTAGAAATAAGTTAAACACAATATTCTTAAGACAGCCTCATAATAAGTAATACTAGATGTTTTGACTCCATTTAAGATGTTTTCACTTGCTAAGATAGCATTTTTGCAGTGTAGAAAACTTTAAATGTTGTCCTAACTTTAGGATAAAAACCAACAGTGTCCTAACTAGATACTATTATATTCATTCATACTGTAAATTGGTGGTTTCACTTCTCAACCATTCCTGCTAATTTACTTTGTTCTTATTTATGAAAACTCATGAAATAAAACATTGCAGTGTTGGTGAATAATGAGAAGAGTTTTCAGATCTTAACTAAGATCAGAAGTTTCTGGTTCCTTTCATCACCACTGTGAACAATTCTAATCACAGTTCACCAAGCATTAAAGGTGCAATTTGTAAGATTTTTACTTTAAAACATTCCAAAATGAATATGAATTATCAACAGAATGAAAAAAAAAAAAGAATTGTTAAAATAATGACCTGACCCGTCCTGTCTCGTAATACCACTTTGTACCTCAAGAGGTGACAGTGAGTCACTGTAGCGCCAAGTCTGCCATCAGTCTGTAGTCGTAGTACAGAAACATTAGCGCTGCCATGAGGGCGTGTTCTAACCTCCTGTCAATCATGTTGAAGGTCCTGCCCCAGTTAGACTGTTTAAGGACAAGTAGCCAATGAAAGCGAGTAACCACTATCACCGAAACCACTCCCATCAAAAAACACGTTTAGCAGCAAAGACAAAAAAGTGACCCAAATAGACCCAAACCAAGAGTAATGCAGAGTAAAGGGATGAAGTTTGATTCTATACTCGCAGCGTTTCTTCTAGATTGGTAAGGAGTGAAGAAGGAAGAGGGGGAACTGTGCATCTCCTGGTTTCTTCCAATAGTGGTTGACACCACAGCATTCTGGTGAAATGTCACACCTATTTGTTTGGAGTATGAACTCATCAGGTTGTGTCATCTTACATATCTCCCCATTAACCCTCTCCGGTCAACAATGTTGTATGCGACAACAAAGGCTGTTGTACATACAGGAATAAACATCTTGGGAATACTGTATGATACAGACTTATATTTGCCGTAACACTGAGGGCTTCAGTGAGATCATATCCCTCTGAGAAGCTTTGTAATCCAGGCTTGAACTGCACTGCCTTTTTGGAGCCTTTGGAAAATAATTCCATAATGAAAAAATCCCACACTGAATGTTTAACTTCTGTGTTTATTTATCTGTTTCTCCGTGTTAAAAAGAGTTACTGTTGTTGTTTGCATGGCTGTTATGCCTCGGGTCAAGTCTGGTGACCAATCAGAGGCTGTGTTTCTGACTCGTCGACCAATCAGTGGGTGTGTTCCTGTCTCATCGACCAATCAGAGGCCGTTTTCCTCTCTTGTTGCCAGAGCAATGCTACCTTTCTGGGCAAAATGAAAGTATGTCTGTAGCACACAGCATTCAAAGAATATTCTTTTCTTTTATCCACGATGTCCTTTGATGTTGCACAGACATTGTTGACCTGAGAAAGTTAAATAATCAGGCGTAAATGATCATAGTTTGGACATTTTTGACCACCGTCTAATTTCATACTCGTTGTTGATGTCATTACTATCATTCTGAATAATGAAAAATAGTAAAAATAAAAATGTATCCCTTGATGTGGGTGAGTGGATGTGTCCAAACATTTCACTATATATATATTTATATATATATATATATATATATATATATATATATATATATATATATACACACAGCCTTGTCATTTTTCAATTTTCGACATAATTTGAAAAAGCCTATTGGTCTTTACATTGTATGTAAATTTCATAAAAATGGACCAAAAGAAACGACCCAAAATTACTTGGAAAAAAGTCTGGTTGCATTGACTCACATTAAAAGTAAAGTAAGTTTTTTCCTTCTCTTGTAAAGGAGATGTGAGGTTTTGTACCCACAACAGCAAGATATGCATATATATATATATATATATATATATATATATATATATATATATATATATATATATATATATATATATAATATGGAGTGACCTTGAAACGCCACTGTCTTTCTCCCAGCTCTGGCTGTTTGGAGCTCCTGGGATTCCAGCCGTGGCTGCCTTACCTGTTTGTGCGCGTGGTCATAAGAGTTGATGTGGTTGTCGAATTCCTGATGTTTGTAGTACTGCTTGTCACACAGCTGACAGTAGAAGTTGGCCTTGAGGTCCTCCAGGGCTTTGGCCAAGGTTTTCTCCTTCTCAGCATAATCCTGGAACACACCGCAAAACACAGCGATCCATCAGACACAGAGCTCTGCACAGCATTACCTGAGCTATAGTGTTACATACAGCCACGCAGGATACTGAGTCAGACGCGCCGGCTCTTCACTGCCCGTGACTCAGTGGCCCGTGAGGAAGCCAACTGGAGGAATGAGGGGGCGGAGTGGAAATAAAATAACATACTTTATCTGCTGACCTTGATATCAGAATACTACATGTTTATACACCAAACAAACACAAATTCCCGCACATTCTGCGCTCTATGAGCCCAGCGCTTCCCCACGAGCACGAGCTCAGCTAAATAATCAGGTTTGAGTTCAAGTATGTCATGTATTAGTAAACAGAAATCTGTTTAAGAAAAATGAGAGGCTTATTCACAACTATGCAGTTTCATCTGCATAGACTGGTGAACTAATACAGCCACTAGAGGGCGCTGTGGCTGGATGTTCCATAGTCAAGAACAGTGCCTAATTTTAACTCTGAAATACTGAGGTGGAAAAACAATCCAGAGAGACCAGAAATCAGTGTTTCTGCTCAACAGAAAGCCAAATGTACTGCTTTTGTGTGGAAACGCTTAAAGATAGGAAACTAAGTCAACTGATTATGCTAAAATATAGGTTTCAATGCTCAGTGCAGCCAAGAACTGCTTACTTTAACATACATCAGGCCATTTGACTGACAAGCAAACCAGCCATAGTTTCTGAGTGATGTGTTGGAGCAGGTGATCGTCAAAATGGAGCAACAACAAAAACAAACCCAGAAGAAACAAAGTCTCCCATCAGCAAACACACTAGTACAGGGGTAGAGTCCTGGAGGGCCGGTGTCCAGCACAGTTTCCATACTCAAACACACCCACTTAACCTGGCAATTAACAGATAGGTGTAATCAGGTGTGTATGAGCAGGTATATCACCAAACCGGCCCTCCAGGAACGGAGTTGTGCACCCCTGCACTAGAATATCAAACAAACAATCAATCAATCAGTCAACTGTTATTGATTGCCACTTTGTACTTCCACTCACTGGCCACTTTATTAGAAACACTGAGCTTGTGCCTCCAAAACTGGCCACTTTATTAGAAACATCCACTTTGTACTTCCACTAACTGGCCACTTTATTAGAAACATCTACCTTGTTCTTCCACTTACTGGCCACTTTATTAGAAACACCTGCCTTCTACTTCCCCTAACTGGCCACTTTATTATAAATGATTGCCTTGTACTTCCACTCATTGGCCACTTTATTAGAAACACCTGCCTTATACTTTCACTAACTGGCCACTTTATTCTTTTCATGGTTAAATGGTTCTCCTCTATGATGGAAAATCTGCTGTATCTATCTATCTATCTATCTATCTATCTATCTATCTATCTATCTATCTATCTATCTATCTATCACAGCAAGTAAAATGATCTGACAATGGAATAAAACACTTTTAGTAGATAAAATTATTAAAAATAAGTAAAAATGTCTAGAAAATAAACTCAATAATCTTATGATATTCTCACAACATCATGTGAAATAATAGCTGCATTAAGATTTAGAGTGTTTGCACTTGCTGAGATATTATTTTTGCTGTGAGGGTAAAAGAGGAATTTATTGATTATTCTCAGGGTCGACTGAGGTGGGAATCGCTATCAGGTGTTTGTTCAGAGCGTCTGAGTAACCAAATCTGTGATACGGCTCTGACCTGCTCTCCGTCACTCTGAGTTTGGAAATTTTCATCTTCAGGTCAGTTATCGGGGAGCAGATTTTTCACTCTGACGGAGCGTGTTGCTCCTAAACAGCTATTTGTCTGCTACCGATCTGCTAACAGATACGCGCCGCTGATGTCTTTTTTGATGTATGGCCGTAATTTGTTTTGGAGGAGTACTTGTCGTGCGCTCTTTGAAAACACGGCCACCCCAAAACTAATACAGCCCTAATACAGCGCCTCAGCGGAATGCTCATCTTCGCCTGTTTGTTTTTTATACACGTTATTAAATATTGATTTACAACAAATCTGGGAAGAGAGCAGCTTTACCAGGGGCAGATTCTGTTTTAAATCTAATTTAGTCATCGGTCAGGATGTATGGAACCTGGAAGATTCAAAAGCGAGATGCATAAAAACCCATATTCCCCAAAGGCTCTCCAAACCCAGTGACGGTGAGGAAGGCAGAGGAGCTGCAGAGAATGGACCATTTGAATGTGTTGACAGTATAACTCAACCTCAGGCCTGGAGGAACGCTGGTAAAGCTTTCTAACCCTTTCTTACCCAACGTCTGGTGGTGATCCATTTATAGTGTTTGTGTTTATCCCTTTTAAATGATTAAAATCTGTCCACAGAGTAACTGGTGAGCTTTCATGTCCACATTGGTCAGTAAAATGGATCAGCATGTGTAACTGGATCTTTCTGTGAGCTACTGTGTTTCCTATCACTGTGTAAAAGAAGCTCAATTCTGCCTTTATTGTTGGATGCACTGCAATAGTTTCCTAACCACATTCAGAATTAATTCACATTGATATGAAAATACTTATTATTGACCCATTTTATTGGAAAACATATAAGAGACCACTGAAGTGTGAAGTCTATTTGTTATTCATGTGTTTACTTACTCAAGAAGGTTGTTTGTGGCCACTTCAGTCACTTTCCACTTGATTAGAAACACTGTACTTACACTCACTGGCCACTTTATTAGAAACATCTACCTTGTGCTTCCACTAACTGGCCATTTTATTAGAAACACCTACCTAATAGCTCTACTATGTAGATGTACAGTTACAGACTGTAGCCCACCTGTTGCTCCACAGTTTATTAGCCCCCTCAACCCCAGGGCTTTTACACAGGTCATTGTCATTGGTTGAGAGTGGACCACCACCCAGAAATAACCAGCCAAGAGCAGCTCTGTGGTCAGAAACTGACCACTGATGAAAAACTAAAAGATGGCCGACACAAACTGTGCATCAACAGATGGGCTGCAGTCTCTAATTGTACACCAGCAAGGTGGGAGGAATTTTTGGTGAAGTCGCCGGGGGGTGTAAAGTGTCTCAGCAACACACTCATGTTTTCCGGCACTTTCCTGCTGATTCAGAGCCTCCTGCAACAGCAGGTCATTCAAATGAGCTAACGACTGGTGAGAGGTCTATTTCCCTCACCTAAGGTGAGAACATGACGACGACATGCTGCTAAATATGTCCGTTATACGCACAAATGATGAAAAAAGCTTCTCTCACTGCGCCGCTTCTGCCCAAACAACACGAAACATCAGGTCTAAGACTGACACAGACAACCTGAATTAGGACGTTTTCACCATTTCAGCTTTTCAAGTGGTCTTACTGAGTCGTGTTATACCCCTCACCTCGGGTAAAATCACTGTAATGTGCAGCTTCAAGTTGATTATTGCTTTTATAAAATGGAGGCAAAATGGAGACAACCAACCTAAAGTATAGTATAATAATAATCATCATAATAAAATGTAACGTTCAATGAAAAATAAGTCAGATAAAAGATGAACTGTTTAATGCTTTCTAACAGTGCTATTCCCACAGCTCTGACAATGAATCAGACCCATTCAGTGATGGGCTTCAGCACCACCCATAATTCAGTGTTACCCAGGTGAGGTCTGAGTTCTAAAGGAGTTGTGGTGTGAACAGGTAGCCTGAGATCCCACTGCTAAACAGAACCAGAAAGAGAACGCAGAACCCTTTACACTTCACTTACACTGTGAGCATAAAAAGCACTGAGGTCATTTACAGCTGTTTCCTTTCAGACTCACGTTAACAGAACTGAGTTTGGGTCATTAATAAACATGCTTACTGTCTATTGCGAAACCAGACAATACTTATTCTGACTGTCAGCCACCTGAGTGTGTACACTAAGTGTCTGTGTGTGTGTGTGTGTGTGTGTATGTGTGTGTGTGTGGGTATGAAAAATGTCCATGGATGGTGGAAGAACTCATGGTACATTTGAATGGACCCCCTAAGATCATCAGACTCCAAGTTTACTGCAAATACATTTCATTTGAGTGGCTGACAGAGATGTAAATACCAGTGTTAAACTCAGGAAGTCCATTAGTTTCTGTATGACCAGCCAAAACATGTTCTGTTACCATGGCAACATGTTCCTTGTTGGTATTTCTCTGTAAATATGCCTCTTGTCTTTGTTTTGGTCTTTGCTCAATATTGTTGGTTCAGACCTGATGTCTTGTTTTTATTCTAGCATTTCAGACCCTGATTCAGTTCTGATTGTTTAATATTTCTTTCAGTGTCTTTAATTAGTTAGAGTTAATATTAGTTAATATTTCGATATCATAAAGCCCATACATGATACAGGTCTACTAATGATACATTGACTGATCCTTGTTGACCACTGAACACAAACAACTCAGATATGATTTGGTGACTTTATAAGAGGATGGGTCCAACCTGAATACATTAATTCAATCTTCTGTGCCTCTAAAGTACAAATGTAAATTGTTGGATATCTGACGGAGTTTTGTGGCCTGTCTTTGAGGTTTTTCTTGTTAAATTTACTGACAGTTGAAGTTTTTGCAACTTTCACACTTGAACTACAGACCTCAGATATTCACAAGGATTATGTTATAATCTATATGATTGCAGGACATTAATAGAGATAGTAACAAGCTAAATATATACTCAGTTGTTATTTATAGTGTACTTTCTATTGGGAGGAGTCTGTTCCAAACCCTAACCCCTAAATTTCTGAAAATAATACGCACATTTTTAAAAAAAAGATTTTTGATTTCTTTCAAAGTGAAGTTGAAAGATTTTAATCTATCATGAGTTTATTTAATTAAAAAAAAAAAGGTGTCCCACGTTTTCATGTCATTACCGAAACACACTTTTATTCGGTAGGCAGGGCCTTATTTTAGCCACACCCCTGTATTTTAGAGCAGGAAGTGAGGCTGTATCCCTGTCCCTCATGGCCACATGGTGAGCAGTTATATTCCATTGTTTTGAAGTAAATGTGTCCCAAAGTCTGAAAATCAGTGT